GATCTTAATTGCTTTCATCATATCACTATGGTACTTATTTTCTAGCTCCCAAATTATTTATTTCTAATTTGGCACACTTAAACTGTAAATAACTCAAGGCTTCAATATATTTGCAAAATTTCTTCCAAACATAATTTCATCAAAGATTTTAGGTGTTTTTGCTTTATCAATATATCTAACATATTAGATTTTGATATGAGTTAACATATTTCTTTTCTTTAGGTTTTTCTCCACTTGTTTCTTTTGTTTTCCCATCTTCCTTTTTTTTTGTTATGAAATTGATATTATACCTTATTTTTGGTATCGTCCCTCTAATTCGTATGAAAATTTAGGAAATAGGTTTTTTGTCGTATTGCAATAGTTCGTTCCCAAAAAAAAGCCAATTTGCAATAGTTCGTTCCCGCTATGGGAACGAAAGAGCGAAAAGCAAAAGAGCGAAAAGTTGGGAATATTCCCTCTAAATGTTCCCAAGATGGAGAAAATTTTTGATATGGAGAAAATGGAGAAAATAAATACCATGAAAATCCCAACTGTCGCTGATAATTTGAAAACCAGTTTTAGGCGGAGGCAATTAGATATTCAAGTATATAAACTTTTTAAATTTTTTTTTATAATTTTAGAAAACTCAAAAAAGACACAATTTCATAATCTATAAAGGTTATGAATATATACTTCATAAGAAAGGTAAAAATGCTACTTATTTTACGTGTAGAAAAAGGTGTGGTGGCCGAGGAAAATTGTTGGCAGGTTACAATTTTATCATAAGTGTGAAACATGATATAAATTGTAAGTCAAATCAAGGTACATAAATTAAATCTGATATAATAAATAATTTCTCTTCTAGATGCCCAACCTTTACCAAGTATAATATTTCATAACATACAATTCCAAATAGGTATCTCTCAAATTATTGAATTAAAAGTTTCTTTTACTACATTTGTTTTATTTATTAATTTAAGGCTCAAATCCTCAGCTTAATGGCAATAATGATGCACAGGCTTTGCTCACTGCCATTGAAAGTAGAAATTTTTTTACCAATTAGTTTTTAATAAATTTAATGATTTTAGATGCAAATTCAATACAATCTCCAAGCAACTCTCTATTAAGAGATAGCCATGCCTTTGCTGTTGAAAGTATAAATTTTTTTTACCAATTAGTAATTTAATGATTTTAGATGCAATTTCAATACAATCTACAAGCAGCTCTCTATTAAGAGATAGCCATGCCTTTGCTGTTGAAAGAATAATTTTTTTTACCAATTAGTTTTTAATAAATTTAATGATTTTAGATGCAATTTCAATACAATCTACAAGCAGCTCTCTATTAAGACAAAGCCATGCCTTTGCTGCTGAAAGTATAAATTTTTTTACCAATTAGTTTTTATAAATTTAATGATTTTAGATGCAAATTCAATACAATCTCCAAGCAACTCTCTATTAAGACAAAGCCATGCCTTTGCTGCTGAAAGTATAAATTTTTTTACCAATTACTTTTTATAAATTTAATGATTTTAGATGCAAATTCAATACAATCTCCAAGCAACTCTCTATTAAGACAAAGCCAAGCCTTTGCTGCTGAAAGTATAAATTTTTTTACCAATTACTTTTTATAAATTTAATGATTTTAGATGCAAATTCAATACAATCCACAAGCAACTCTCTATTAAGACAAAGCCATGCCTTTGCTGCTAAAAGTATAAATTTTTTTACCAATTAGTTTTTATAAATTTAATGATTTTAGATGCAAATTCAATACAATCTCCAAGCAACTCTATTAAGACAAAGCCATGCCTTTGCTGCTGAAAGTATAAATTTTTTTACCAATTAGTTTTTATAAATTTAATGATTTTAGATGCAAATTCAATACAATCTCCAAGCAACTCTCTATTAAGACAAAGCCATGCCTTTGCTGCTGAAAGTATAAATTTTTTTACCAATTACTTTTTATAAATTTAATGATTTTAGATGCAAATTCAATACAATCTCCAAGCAACTCTCTATTAAGACAAAGCCATGCCTTTGCTGCTGAAAGTATAAATTTTTTTACCAATTAGTTTTTATAAATTTAATGATTTTAGATGCAAATTCAATACAATCTCCAAGCAACTCTATTAAGACAAAGCCATGCCTTTGCTGCTGAAAGTATAAATTTTTTTACCAATTACTTTTTATAAATTTAATGATTTTAGATCAAATTCAATACAATCCACAAGCAACTCTATTAAGACAAAGCCATGCCTTTGCTGCTGAAAGTATAAATTTTTTTACAAATTAGTTTTTATAAATTTAATGATTTTAGATGCAAATTCAATACAATCTCCAAGCAACTCTCTATTAAGACAAAGCCATGCCTTTGCTGCTGAAAGTATAAATTTTTTTACGAATTAGTTTTTATAAATTTAATGATTTTAGATGCAAAGAAGGTTAGTATATAATATTATATAAATATAATCTTCCTTTTTTTCAACCCTTTAAATAAACATATTTATTAAATCTATTTTAGATGATGATGATTATCAAATTGATGTTGCTAATACGTTAATTGATTTACATCAATACAGTCATAGTAAAATAAAATATATAATGACTAATTATTTTTTTATTTATTAAGGCCCTCGTTTTATAAAAAGCCAACAAGGAAAAACATTGTTATTTTATAACAAGTTTTTGTACAGAATTGATCATAAAAAGGATCTAATTACTTATTATCGGTGTCGAAATAAAAGCTGCAAAGGTAGATGCAAGTTTGATGGAACGTATTCTATCACTTGTCTTTATTCCCATCAACATGAGACATATTTTTATGAAAAACTTAGGACTAAAGAGGTCTTAGAAATGGTAGTAGCAGAAAATCCTCTCGAGACAAGATTAGCTATTTATGAAAAAGCTATGGTGATTCGTTGCTCGGAGAACTTGGATATTGCAGATTATCCAGAGGTTATCCCTTCGTTTGTCTCTATCAAAACTACTATTGATAGAATTATAAAAAAATATCGCCCTATGTTACCTCATTCTGTAAAGGATATTCATTTGACTCCCGAATATACTTTAACCAATTGGGGTGAACAATTTTTAATATATACTGATAGCAATAAGTTGATCATCTTCGGAACAGCTCAAATGCTGAGATTAGCAGAGAGAGCTGATAATATATATATAGATGGAACATTTTATTCTGCTCCTAGTTTCTATTATCAGCTCTATGTGATTCATGTATTGTATGACAAGGTAATGATACCTATTGTATATGCTCTTTTGCCAAACAAAAATAAAGAGACATATACAAAGGTATTAAGAGTCCTTATAAAATATTGTGGTGATAACAATATTTGGTTTAGTCCATCATTGGCCCAGACAGATTTTGAAAATGCAGCCATTTCTGCTCTTAAGGATGTATTTCCGACAATGGCAATAAAAGGTTCATGTAGTTTAATATATTTATTTTTTTATACATATATTTAGGTTGTTATTTTCATTTTTCATAAGCTTTATGGCGAAAATGCCAAACATTGGGATTATCATCATCGTACATGGGGCATTCGGATGTACATAAAGTAGTCCGAAGAATGAGCACACTCCCATTCTGTAGGGAAGAACATGTGGCAATAGTACGTGATGCTTGCTATCAAATGGCTGCTAACAATAGTTTGTTACTAAGTTTTATGCAATATATGGATACAACTTGGCTCGGAGTTAGACCACTATTTCCTTATAAAATATGGTCAAGGTATAAAAGATATTAAATTATATAATATCTAATATATATATTGTTAATTTAGGTATAGAGTACTGGGTCCCCGCACAAATAATCATTTAAAGGGATTTCATCATGCCCTGAACCGAAAAATATCCTATGCTCATCCTAATATTTATACATTAATAAAAATTTTAATAAACTATCAAAACAGTAATGATCTAAAACTTATTCAAATAAATAATGGATCAACGGTTAATCGCATTAATTACTCTTACGAGATAAAAGATCGTATGATCTCAAATTTAACAGATATTTATGAAGAAAGCGAAGATGTTATTACATTTTTGGACGAGGTTACCAAAATCATTAAATTAAAATCTTAATTTTTTATTTTATTTATAAACATTTTCACAGTTATTATCGTTCCTTTACAAATATGTATTTCCCAATTTATCCAATTAAATATTTTTTATTACAATTACATGAAATTTAAATAATTAATCAAAATCTATGCATATAATTTTAATGTAAATATTCCGTTCGCTTTTATTTTACAGGTATATTTTTTATATGATTTTTTAAATAAATTATTTATTTTGTTATATTACATTATATATAAACGCTATATTTCTATTGGCATAATTTTATATATATTTAATTTAATATGAATTATGTCTATTCGATTTTTATATTTTATGATCGCATATTATATCATGATTGGGTTTATTAATATTATATATTATTCAGTGCAAATATAAATGATAAATCCTTCTTTGCAATGTATAAATACTTAAGATAAATAATTTATTAATATATATATAGAAGGCTTTAACACTAAAAATCAAAAAGTGAATGTAGAGATTTATTTAATACTGCCTTTTTAATTCTAGATTTTTCTTAACATAATAGAATGAAATATCTGAAAAACTAAAACAACACTTGCTTTATTGAATGTTTAGGCTAGTGATAAAAGATATAGATTAGATTAAAAATATATAGAACAAAATGATATTAAGAATAATTTTAATAAATTATTTTTATTATATATTTAAAAAATTAATATTAAACATTAAAAAATACTTAATATTTACCATATATAACTATCAAAATAATAATATTTATTAATAGAATTCATGACTTTTTTAGTGGAGTTATAAATTATGGGAACATTTTTATCAAATTTTTTTTCGCTCTTTTGCTTTTCGCTCTTTCGTACCGAATTCTTC